TCATGACCTCAGGGTCCTGGGATTCAGCCCTGTGGGTTCCCCGTACTTCTACCCCTCCTTCTGGCCGTCCCCCCAAGCTCACTCACTCTTTTTCTAGAATAAATAAAATCTTTAATAATTAAAAAAAAAAAAACAGGAAGATGAGTACATTGAGCACAACTAGTAACCACAGCATCAAATACATAAGGCAAAAATTGGAAAGGAAAATAAAATTGTTTTTATTTGTAGATGACATGATCATTACTATATATTGAAAATCCATAGTGTTCTGCCAAAAAAACCTGTTATAACAAGTAAATTTAGAAAGTTTGAGATCAAGCCAATATTTTAAAAAAGCCATTATATCATATGAGAAATGAAATAAAATTTATAAATGTATAATAAAAATTCTAAATCATGCCATTTACAATAGTATCAAAAACATAAAATACAGGGGTGCCTGGGTGGCTCAGTGGGTTAAAGCCTCTGCCTTCAGCTCAGGTCATGATCCCAGGGTCCTGGGATCAAGCCCCACTTCAGGCTCTCTGCTCGACGGGGAGCCTGCTTCCCCTCCTCTCTCTCTGCCTACCTCTCTGCCTACTTGTGATCTCTGTCTGTCAAATAAATAAATAAAATCTTAAAAAAAAAAAACATAAAATACTTGAGGATAACATATGTGCATATTCTATAACCTGTACTATGAAAACTACAATTCACTACAAAAAAAAATTTAAGATAATCTAAATAAATGGAGAAATACGACATATCACCAACCGAAAGACTGAATAATGCAAAGATGTCAATTTTCCTCAAGATGATCTACAAATTCAATACATCCCAAACAAAATTCTCAGAGGCAACTATCCTTTAAAAATTAACAAGCTAATTCTAAAATTTACAGGGAAATGCAAAGGACCTCAAAAAGCCAAAACAGTTTTCAGAAAGAGCAAAGCTGTAAGATTTATCTGATTTCAAGAGTTACTGTAAAATTACAGTAATCAAGTCAGTTTGGTATTGGCCTAAGGGCAACACAAAGATCAATGCAATGGAATGAAAAGCCCAGGGAAAGACCATGCATGCTTTTGACAAGGAGGTGGAAGTAATTCTGCAGAAAGGACAGTTTTTTCTATAAAAGGAAAAAATCTTTGTTAGCGTGGAACAGGCAATAATTTTTGGATAGAACGCTAAGGACATGAACCACAAAAGAAAAAACTGATAAACTGAAGTTCATCAAAATAACGAATTTTGCTTTACAAAAGAAAACATTAAGACAGTGCTCGCTTCGGCAGCACATATACTAAAATTGGAACAATACAGAGAAGATTAGTATGGCCCCTGCACAAGGATGACAAGCAAATTCATGAAGTGTTCCATATTTTGGGGAGGGTGGGCTATGAATTCAAGCCCTTCATTGGGTATAGAAATTCCTTAAAAATAAAAATATTTTAAAAAGAAAAAGAAAACGTTAAGATAATTAGAAAGCAAGGTTTGGGGGGAAAACCATATATATGACAACTTGCATCCAAAGTATATAAAGAAAACCTCAGTATCAAGAAGAGCAAGGGATGGGTCAAAAAAAAAAAAAAGGCAAAAAATTTAACAGATACTTAAAAGAAGAATGGACAATCTTCCCACTAATCTTAAGAAAACATAAATTCATTCCATAAGGAGATATCACTATACTCATTAGAACAGCTAAAATTTAAAGAAATGACAATACCAAGAGTTAGTGTCTATGCTGAATGATGGCATTCTCATCGGCTGCAAGAGGAAGTGAGAAATAACACAACCGCATTAGGAGGCAGTTTGGCAGTTTCTTATAAAGTTAAATATACATTTATCACAGAAAAGAGTAATTCTATACCTAAAGTATTTACAGAAGAAAAATTAAGGGGCGCCTGGGTGGCTCAGTGGGTTAAGCCTCTGCCTTCGGCTTGGGTCGTGATCTCAGGGTCCTGGGATTGAGTCCACCATAGGGCTCTCTGCTCAGCGGGGAGCCTGCTTCCCGCTCCCCGCTCCCCACCCCCCGCCTGCCTCTCTGCCTACTTGTGATCTCTGTCTGTCAAATAAATAAAAACTTTATTTATTTTTTTAATAAGTAAAATCTTTTAAAAAAATTAAGACATCAAATCCACACAACACTTGCACATGAATATTACAGAAGCTTTATTCATAAAAGGCAAAAACTCGAACAACCCAAAGGTCCATTTTACAGTTGAATAAACAAACTAAAGTACATGCAAACAACACAATACTAATCAACAATAAACAATGAACTACACCTACATGCAACAAACTGAAAAAAAAAAAAAAACAAAAAACCTCTCAAAAACATTACTCCCTGAAATAAGCCAGATACGAAAGGACATATATACTATGATTCCACTTATATGAAGGATCTAAAACAGTCAAATTCACAAAGACTCAGAGAATAGTGGTTACCAAAGACTCTGAGGGAGGAAAGAGTGAGGAGTATATTTTTAATGGATACAGGGTTTCAATGATGAAGTAGTTCTGGAAATGGACTGTGGAGATGATTGCACAACAGTATGAATGTACTTAATACCACTGAACTGTACACTTAAAAATGGTTAAGATGATAAGTTTTATGTTATGTATATTTTACCACACACACAAAATCATTTTGCTGAGGGAAAAAAGTCAGATAGAAGAGGATATATACTATATGGCCATTTACATGGCATGTCAGAACATGTAAAACTAAGCAATAATGACAGAAATCACATGAACGGCTATCTGGGGTGGAGAAGAGAAGAAGGAACTGACTGTAAAGTTCTCAAAAGAACTTTTTAAAGTGACTTTACATTTGCCAAAACTCACTGAAATATACACTTAAACTACATACATATTTTTAAAAAATGCATACATGCTATTTTATGCAAATTACACCTCCATATATTTTCAAATAAATAAATAAGCTTGAGGAGGGAATGAAACGCAGCAGAGTAGAAAATAAAACTACAGACTCTTTCTAGGAATGAAGTTATGTTGTGGTGTACAGAGAAGGTAGTAGCTGGAAGGAAATATGTGGTTTGAGGAGTATTTCTCAAGATGAAAGAGAAATGACTATATTTAATGCCAACAGGCAACCAGTTATTTGAAACCAGGGTGAAAATCCAGAGGTAAAAGAACATAAAGGCTACATGTGCTTAGTTGCCAGTGTTTGAGCCATATGGAATTTTGTTCTACATTTCCCCACTTCAATAAAAACGAGTTCTGCAAAGAAAAAAAAAAAAAAAAAGTGAAGAAAATGCTTTGGCAAGTACCAGCAGAAAAAAGTTGACTGAAATATCCAACAGAAGAAACCTAGCAAACTCAAGGAAAGAAGAGCACATTATTCCCACATATCTGTATATTAATAGTAAATACAATAATGGAGTTTCTAGCAATATTAGCAAATCTATATTAATCCTAACCTTGTAGTAACACCCTGAATCTCTTGCTAGAAAGCAGAAGGCTGCTAAAGCCAAAAAAACATGCTCTAATATTTCAGGAGTCCTCCAAGCCTTGCAACTAAAATAAAACGGATCACTTAGAGCAATAATGGCAATTCAGGACCGTTAGTAGATGATTTCAAACTAATGGTAATAGCTTTTCAAAGCCATCAAGCATACGTAAGGATATCCATACCATCTATGTGGTAAAAAGCCTTGGGAGAAGATCATCTGCAAGTATGGGGAATAACAAATGTTTTCCCAGTACAAAAAACAGTATTTGAAGGGAATGAAAACTCTACTTCAGAGACTAGAACAGCCAAAGAATTCTAGTGAAATTGAAATTACTGCTTCTCTCAGGTGGCATATCAAATTCAGACTAAGGCATGTACTTGGAAATAGTCATACCCTGTAACCTAGCCCCCAAAACATCATTGTTGTCGTTTCTGTAACTGTAATTCTATGATTTAGTAAGGCAATTTTTTAACTTCAGTCTTTTTATAAAAGCTTCTACAAACATTATTTTAAGGCCTGGACATGAAATAGATTTTGAAACACTTCACATAGCTATTTTTTTTTTTTAAGATTTTTTTTTTAATTTATTCATTTGACAGATAGAGATCACAAGTAGGTAGAGAGACAGGCAGAGAGAGAGGAGGAAGCAGGCTCCCCGCTGAGCAGAGAGCCCGATGCGGGGCTCGATCCCAGGACCCTGGGATCATGACCTGAGCCGAAGGCAGAGGCTTTAACCCACTGAGCCACCCAGGCGCCCCTCACATAGCTATTTTTCATTAAAAATAAAGAAAGAAGGAAAATACCTACTATTTCCAAACATGGAATTTAATGACAAAAACCAGTACCATTTTAATCAACTTTTAGGTAGGCTCTTCCTTAAATTTGAGTTTTACAATTTATATTAATATATTCTACTGCAGACATCTTCATTTCTTAAGTAATTTAAGACCACCAAACTGGATGTGTATATTACCAAAAAAAAAAAAAAATTACTCCAAGACATATGCTTCATACACATCATTAATAAACTGGAATAGTACAACCAAATAGCTATGAACTATTATTCTCAAAATTCCAAATCCCTTATTTTGAATCCTGATAGCATCGGTAGCTAACAAAACAACAATAGCTATTCTTGTGATGGACTACAGTAAAATGAATGCTCATTTCTGTTCGGATCTACAACAAAACGAAAGGTAATTGCTGTGACGCTCATTACAACATATCAACCTCCATCGACAGCAGAGTTAAGTTTCTGTATTTTCCCTTTTGATAGAGGACGGCTGCAAATACATGCACCTAATAATTTGGGAAATTAAATAAATAAGAAAATGTAAATTGGGAAGTGGTCTGTTCTGGTCTTTCTTTCTTACTTTTTTTCTACTTTCTTTTTTTGGGGCCACAAATAGGCCACAAAAAAATTTTTTTTTTCTAAATATCTCTGCTTCCATAAGATCAATGATACATGACATCAAAACACAGTAATTTCGATTTTCAAAAAGAGTTGTCTCTTTTATACAATAATACATTTCATATAAGATTTTATCTTACCTGGCCAATTCTTTAATTAAATTTGCAATGCGTCTTTTGTCTTCAAGACACAAATCCTTCAATGACGCACTCTTTAGTCCTCCCCTGCAGAAATTCTAATACAAAACAAAAAAATCTTTTGGTTAACTTTTGGTAAAAGCAATTTTTAGGACTTTTTGAGAAATCTCTTAAAATTAGCACAGGAGGTAAAATTTCTCAGGTATCTTTTCTCTGGTGGTATGTTCCTTTTTTTTTTTTTTTTTTAAGATTTTATTTATTTATTTGAGAACAAGAGACAATGATAGCGAGATAGAACACGAGTTGGGAGGACAGGAAAAGCAGAATCCCGTTGGGCAGGGAGCCTGATGCAGGGCTCCATGGCAGGACCCTGGGATCATGACCTGAGCCAAAAGTAGATGCTTAACTGACTGAACAACCCAGGTGCCCTGGTACACACTTTATGTTTCATTCAAACCTATTATGAATTCAAAACAGGCTAAGGAACTGTCTTGTCCAGAAGGGGACATTATAAAATTTACACAGAGAAATTTATATAGAGAAGATCACAAAAGGCTTAAATATTAGGGATTATTAAGGAAACAACTTTCCCTTGGTGAATGTCACAAAACCTAATGGAAGATACTGAGAACTTTTCCTACACTACAGCCCACAGGCTGCTTAAGAGTACACTAAGGTTGACAGCAAAGGCACCAGTTTCTAAGTTCTCAATATATCCTAAAGTTCATTCCAACGGGTACTAGACCAAAGAGTAATAATAATAGCTAACACATATCTCATATTTACTGCATGTGAGGAACATTATAAGTACTTTACAGTTACTAATCCAGCTCATTTGCACAACAGTGCTATGAATTAGGTATTATTTGTATTTATGGGTGAGGGGACACCTTGCCTTGGATAACATTTAAAGCAGCAGAACCAACACCTGAGCACACATCCAGAGTATGTGCTCTCAACCACTGAACTATTTCTTGTGCTCTAAAAAGTTCTCCCAGTACTTGAACTTCATTAAGAGGATCTTTAAAGCACTGAAACTAAGCAAGTCACAGGAAAACTAGAGGTAACATGTAAACAGAAGGAACCCTAGGCATTTGTACAAGTAGGTTAGTCCAATTTCTTCAGGTTGCCAAGAACAATCCAAGACTTCTAAAATGAGTCCTGGAAATACTGATAGCCATAGATGGGAAAGATGGGGAGAAAAAGGCAATAGGAGAAAGGAGAGAGTAAGAAAATGAGTTTGGCTTTGAATATGGTCAACTTAAGATGCTAGGATGAAAGTCATATGGAAATGTTAGGCAGGAAATTGGAAATGTGGGTCTGGCTCTTAAGTCAGAGAAAAACATAAAGATGTAATCCATAATACCATAGGGCTTATGGTATTATGGACGATATTTAGATTTTTATTATTTTCTTTATACTTCTCTATGTTTTAGATTTTTCCTTAACATTAAAAACTATCAGTTTTTAAAAATCTTCTATGAATCCAAGATAATAAATTAAAGAATGAAAGAGAATCAGAAGGATATAATATGGTGGGAGAAAATATGTTTTGAGAAGAGTATGGAGTTAATGATGCTAATGATCAAAAAAGTTACACAGAATGTGGAAAGAAGCCACTCTATCTGGCAATGGGAAAAGTTGCTGAAAACACATGAGAAGGCATCTTAGTGATGCAGTGAGTAAAAGAACAAAAAAGAGAAACCCTTACACATGGGCAAGGATATCAGCAGCATTGTATTTAACAGAACAGCCAATTTTCAATAAAATTTGTATTGAAAATACAAATGTTTGTCAATTAGAGAATAAACTGTAGCATATTTAGACAATGGAATTCTGTAGGTACTGGTTGTTAAGCTACTTACTGACTTTCATCTTCAAACCCACCCTTCTGAGACCTCCTTTGTGGTGCTGGGCCTCAGACTCTAGAAACCCCGTATCTCCTTTGCCAGATGGCTCTGTTAAAACCCATCAATAGGAAGAACTAGAGGGAAACCACAGGTTGCTGGAAAAAGAAGAAAAGACACAGTCCTTCCTATTTACATCTCATTCCCACTAGTGTCACCCCTGCCAGAGTGTGTCCTGGCAAGGACAGCAGATTCCAGTTTGCAATTTTCCCAGCCCTGGCAGAACCAGCCCTTAGCATGTCTCCTCGCAGTCAGCAATATCAGTTAGGCTGGGTCCCCATCATCAGAAGCTCATGTTCCAGCTCTAAAGGGGCCCTCCCCCAAGCTTCTAAGTTTTAATAAATCCAACTTGCTCTGGCTGTTTTCCAAGCCCTAGAGATGGGAATTATTTTTTGCACTTACTACCTACATGATATGTTGGTGTTCTGTTTACCTTCTCAGTTCTCCAGCACCATTTTAGCAAGTCTTTATATGAAATACTCTCAGTGAAAAAAAAGTGACTAGACTCTGGCTGAAATATAAGTGAAAAGAAATAACGTACAGTGGGGTATCTAGTAGCTCAGTCGGTTAAGTGCCTGGCTCTTGGTTTGGGCTCAGGTCATGATCTCATGGGTCATGAGATGGCTTCCTGTTAGGCTCCATGCTCAGCAGGGAGTCTGCTTGAAGATTCTCTCCCTTTGTTCCTCCCCCAACTCTCTCTCTTTCAAATAAACAAATAAATCTTTAAAAAAAGGAATGATATACAGCTATACACAACGTAAGTAAATCTCATGAATATAACATTGAGCAAAAAAAGCAAACGATGCAATACACATAGTATGAGCTTATTTATGTAAAGTTCCAAATATACATAACACTGAACACTGAACATAACACTGAACACTGTTTAAAAAACAATTATGTATTTAGACTATATAGGGCAAGGGTTGGTAAACTGTAGCTGCAAGCCAAATCTGGCTCACTGGCTTTTTCTGTAAATAAGGGTTTATTAAAACACAGCCATGTACATTCATGTACACACTGACATATATATACATACATATACATATATATGTATGTGTATATATATATATAGTTCTTCATACTACAGTGTCAGAGTTGAGTAACTGAGACAGAGGCCACATGGCTCACAAAGGTTAAATATTTATTACCTGGCCCTTTACAGAAAAAGTTTGCCTACCCTGACATTAAAAAAAAAACACACACAAAAGAACGATAAACACAAAATTGAGGATAGGTATTACGAAAGCAGATGACAGAATAAAGGAAGGTTATACCCTTCCTTTACTTGGCTTACAATGGCATCATTGCAATTCAATGGGGAGAAGAATGGTCTTCTCAATGAACAGTGCAGATCAACAGACTGTCCATATGGAAAAATGAACTGAACTAACTTAACACCACACCCATACTAATTCCTGATGAATAATGGTTTTCACTGGGAGAAATAAAACAATGTGGCTTCTACAAAAGAGAGAACCTGTTGCAAAGAGCATAGTTGGCTAACAGCCTCACCTAACTACTGCCATACCTTCAGATCCACTGCGGTGTTCACAACAGCGCAAGTGACTGGAAACAGCAGAGGTACTGGAACTGAGCCATTTCTGTTTGACACGGCATCCTTAAGGAACAGTATTTGCTCTGGGGTTCCCCATTAGGCTGACAGACACTAGCCCTGATTGCAAGGCAGTATGAAGTGTGAGGTTTTTCCTAGTGAATTTTTCTTCTTTCTTTGTTCTCTCACAGATGCCAGACTTGCAATAAAATCTAAGGCTCTCCTTGTCTCTCCCTGTTCACTTTATTCTCTATCCCACGTCAGCTCTTCCTCCACTAAATCTCTTCCAGTTTTACTTTCATCTTAGTACCTACTTCCCAGAAGACTTGAGCTGGCATAATTACCACTTTGAAAACCTTAATGAATTAAGAACTTAGCTATTGAACATCAATAGCTATAAAAATCACATACAGAAAAACTACAAGACTTATTTCTCTGAAGAAAAACACACACATCTGTCTAGTTTTGAGAAAAAAATGCATATACACACACACATACACACCCCCCACACACCATTTCTAGTTTTGCAACAAAATAAATACACACATACATAGCTCCTACATTCCACTTCTGGGCAAATAGGAACCGTGCTTACCCTGATGCCTACAACAACCAAAAACCTAACTAAGTATACGAAAAAGCAGTTCTTGAACACCAGAAATCAGGCAGCATGGAGAGTGATCCCTGAAAGAGGGGAACCAAATAAGGTGAGCCATGCAATTATCCCAGGTAAACTGCCTCTGGAGTTTTCAGGGTGCAATGTGGGGAAACCCAGATGGAGCCCAGCAATCTCGCCAAGTTGAGAAGATAAAGCTGGGAGTCCAGGAGAGCAAAGTGTCTAGAATTCGCAGGGCAGAGTCATGGAGAGGATAGAATTGCACAAAAAGAGAGCTCCAGGGATCTGCAGAGGGTTCCCTGCACATCAGCCGTTGAGTACTGATTAGCATTTGTCTATGAGGAAGCCCACCAAAAGCCAAGGAAAGAACAAATGAGAATGTGAGAATAATCTCTGTCTCTAATACAATGCCAGCAATAGTCCATGTTCCCACCAGCCAGAGAGGAAAATCTCATAATTCAAGGGGCATCAGGAAGAGTACTCCACAGGTCACTGCCCATAGTGGGCAAAATTAGCCCTATATTAAAAGCTGTTCTAGTGTCACCTTTAAAAGCTTAAACCCGGTGTCTGAGTGGCTCAGTTGGTCTCAGTCTCAAAGAGACTACCTTTGGCTCAGGTCATGATTCTGGAGTCCCAGGATTAAGTCTCTCATGGGGCTCCCTGATCAGTACGGAGTCTGCTTCTCCCTCTGACCCTCTCCTGTCTCATGCTCTCTCTCTCTCTCAAATAAATAAATAAAAATCCTTAAAAAAAAAAAAAAAAAAGCTTAACCCCAAACTTCAAAAAGATCAAACTACTCTCAAATACTTGTCTTAGTCTCAGAAAAAAAGACCTCAAGATAATTATAAAAAACACAATATATCCAGAACTTAAAAAAAAAAAAAATGACGCTCTTCCGATCTTCATGGGACGCTTGGGTGGCTCAGTTGGTTGGACAACTGCCTTCGGCTCAGGTCATGATCCTGGAGTACCGGGATCGAGTCCCGCATCGGACTCCCAGCTCCACAGGGAGTCTGCTTCTCTCTCTGACCTTCTCCTCGCTCATGTGCTCTCTCTCAAATAAATAAATAAAATCTTTAAAAAAAAAAAAAAAGTATGATTCATACTGTCTGGGGACATCCAATAAAAAACAACCAGGCAGATAAAGAAGCAGATAAATACAATACATAAATAGAAAAATTACTCAATTGAAATCTCTCCATAAATAACTCAGATGATAGGATTATAAACAAGAGCATTAAAATAGTCATTTACATTCCATATGTTCAAGAAAGTAGAAGACCCAGCATGTTAAGTAGAACATGAAATGTATAAATAAAACAAAAGACCCAAATTGAACTGGTAGAGATAAAAACACTGTCTTATATAAAAAATACACTGGATGAGATTAGTGGCAGAAGATGACTAATGAATTTGAAACAAAGCAATATAAACCATCTATACATAAACACAGAAATAACAAAAAATTGAATAAATAATGAGCAGAAAACTGCAGCGTAACCTCAAGTAGCCTAATATTTGCATAACTGGAGCCCTCAAAAAATAATATCTCAACATATAATGGCCAAAAAGTTTCCCAATTTTATGAAAACTATAAACTCTCAAATCTAAAAGACTCAACAAACCCCAATCAAAAGACATACTTAGAATTAGTTCAAGGCATACTATAATCAAATTGCTTGAAACTAGGAATGAAAGGAAAATCCCAAAAGCAGTTTAAACTCACATAGTAAATATGAAAGAATAAAAGTAAGAATGACAGCAGATTTCTCAAAAACAGTGAAACCAGGCAATAGCGCAATGACATCATTAAAGCACTAAGGGGAAAAAAAACTATCAACTCAAAATTCTATAACCAGTAAAAACAAAAGTGAAACAAAGACTTCTTCAGGCATACAAAAGTCAAAATATCCATTCCTAGTGTACCTGAACTATCATAATGTTGAAGGGAGTACTTTAAGCAGATGGAGCATACCAATGATATCAAATGGAAAACAACAAAAATGGTAATTACATGGGTAAATTTAAAAGCCTTTTGTTGAGGAGCACCTATGCTCTGACTCCTGGTTTCAGCTCAGCTCGTGATCTCAAGGGTCATGGTATCACATCCCACATCAGGCTCTGCACTCAGCACAGAGTCTGCTTGAGATTCTTTCTCCTTCTTCCACTCACGCTCTCTCTCTCTCTAAAATAAATAAATCTTAAAAAAAAACATTTTAATTATTTGAAACTCTTTAAAACACAATTGAAATAAATGGAATCCAAATTAAAAAGGAAGCTGTAAAACTATATTCACAGATGACATAATCATATATGTATAAAAAATTATAAGAAATTCACCAGGGCGGGGCGCCTAGGTGGCTCAGTGGGTTTAAGCCTCCACCTTTGGCTCAGGTCATGATCTCAGGGTCCTGGGATCGAGCCCCACATCGGGCTCTCTATTCAGCAGGGAGCCTACTTCCTCCTCTCTCTGCCTGCCTCTCTGCTTACTTTCTCTCTGTCAAATAAATAAAATCTTTAAAAAAATAAAATGTGCAAAGATTGCATCCAAAAATAAAATTAAAAAAAAAGAAAAGAAAAGAAATTCCCTGGGGCCCCTGGGTGGCTCAGTTGGTTAGTTAAGTGTCTGCCTTCAGCTCAGGTCATGTTCCCAGGGTCCTGGGGTCAAGCCCTGCATTGGGCTCCCTGCTCAGTGGGGAGTCTGCTTCTCCTCATTCCTGCTCATGCTCCCTCTCACTCTCTCTCAAATAAATAGATAAAATATTTTAAAAAGGAAAGAAAATCACCAAAAACTATTAGATTCACATTAATAAGTGAATTTAGAAAGGTTCCAGGATACAAAATCAACAGACAAAATCAACTGTATTTCCATACACTAGCAATAAATAACAAAAAAATATAAATAAACTTAACAAAAAGAGTACAAGATACATACACCTCAAACTACAAAACATCGCTCAAAGAAATTAAAGAAGGTCTATGTAAATGAAAAGCTATCTCATATACCATATTCAAGGACTGGAAGAATTGATATTATTAAAGTACTCTCCAAATTTATCTGAAGATTTACTACAATTGCTATCAAAATTCAGGTTGACCCATGTGCAGAAATTGCCAAGGTGATTCTCTATGGAAATTCAAGGGATGCAGAATAGCCAAAATCTTAAAAAAGAAAATCAAACTCGGAGGACTTCCATTTCTTGATTCCAAAAAATAATTCCAAATGGTAATGAACTTGGTATTGGCATAAAAATAGTAATGTTAATCAATGGAACAGAATTGAGAGTCCACAAATAAACATTTACATGTACATGGTTAAGGGATTTTTAACAAGGGAAGAACAATCAAAAGGAAAGGAATAATTTTAACAAATGATGGTGGGACAAGTGGATATCCACAGGCGACAGAATAAATATGAGTCACCACATAAAAAAAATTAAAT